TTTTTTTTTAGAATGAAGCTAGAACTGTCAGCTGTCAAATAACATAGAGATAACATAGATACGAGTGACTCTAGTACTTTAAAAAATGAACTAGTGCCATCTGTTGCAAACATGCGTCATGACTTTTCCGAAGACCCAATAGAAACCATGGAAAAATAAAATGAAGTGCTGCTTTATTTAGTATATAGTACCTTAGAATTATACCCCTAATGAGAGCTACAAGGAAATGGTGAGGGATGTTTGCACATTTACGACAACAGCAATAAAAGATGGCATGTTAAAAGGAACACGGAAAAGATTAAACGAAAGTTTCATAAAAGCTTTAGGCAAGAAAATGTTATTCTCTCATGATGGAATCAGAGACGACTTCAAGAAAAAGGTAGGATGTGATTTGAGCACTGATGGGCCGATTTTTGCCATTCTTCCACCTTATCATTAAATCCAGTTGATAGTAGTCATTCTTTGTAACTATGCAGTGGTAGCCTCTTGTCACATTTAGCTACTGAGGACTTCGAATTTGTCTGAATTGAGATTTTTTTTTAAAGTGTAAAACACACACCAGATTTTGAAGAGTTAGTATGAAAAAATAATGTAAAATATCTCATTCATAATTTTATATTATTGATATGTTAATATTTTGATTATATTGAGGGAAATAAACTATATTACTAAAATTAATTTCTGTGTTTCTTTTTATTTTTTTACTGTTTCTATTAGAAAGTTTGAAGTTACACATATGACCTCACTGTGGTTTGCATTACATTTCTATTGGACAGTGCTAGTCTATAAATAACATCACTCTAAGTTCATAAAAAAATAGTTGAAAGGTTTAAGAAAGGAAATTGCACATTTCCATAAATGTTCTATGTCAACTATTTGATTTTTTTCTAAGTTCACATTGAATTCTCTTAGGTCTTAAATATGCAAGCTAATATTTATTTTTATGCTTGGAATAGATTATACCTTTCAGTTCCATTACAGTTCTGGGATTCTTTTAGAGGATATAAACCTTTTGTACTCCCAGTGCTCATTAAAAAAAAAAAAGTCAGCAATTTAAAAGGTTCAGAGGATTACTAACTAAAACAAATATTTGATGTTTAAATGAATTTCACAGTTTGTCCATATTAATAAATGTTTCTTATCTTTTGAACTCTCAGTATGCTGGGAAAAACAAAATAAGGATTTTTTTTTTAAAGAAAACCCTATTATAAAATTTATTACCAGGATATTTTGCATAAGGATATCACTAAGAGCTTAATTCTTCTGAAAAAAAGATAATAAAATCGATTGGAGTTGATGTCCTAATATCATGAGGAATACACTTGTGTTCTTATGTTCTCTAAGACATAGACTTTAATGACCTTGCATGCCACACAGACTCCATCATTTCACATTGGTAGAAAACTTTTAGATACTTTGATTTTCTGAGGGCCCCTTAAGAGTCAAGTGAAGTTTATGTTGCAATAGTGGAATTGACAATACTTGGTGACTTAAGATTTCATTTAAGACAGTTCCTTTTGAAATTTTCCTTGGTTGATCCACCAGACCTTAACCCACAGCGTGTTCCTCCTGTCTGTTTTAGAGGATGTGGGAGACTTAATCTTACCTCCTCCAGTCTTATTAGAGCTCTTGCTCTAGTAACTATCATTCTCATATCTGCAGTTCTTCTAGAATGTAAGCACCACAAAGACAAGAATTTGTTGTTGAAGGAATGACATTTTTGAATATTGAATGTTGAATTTGTTGAAAATGAAGTTGTTTCTGTTCTAGGAATCTTTTATATCAACCTAAAGGCTCACATAATATTTTCATCCTCTAAAAACAAAACAAACAAACAAACAAACAAAAAACAACCTCCCTTTCATCTCATTTTTTGTCTTTTGAACTATTGATAATTAAAGCATTATAATAGGTTAATTCCATTTTTTTTTTAATGTTTGTTGACAACTTTTAGATTCCACCCCTCTTCCCCATCTACCCCACATCTGGGCAAGCAAGATAAGAAGGCCCTAGTTCCCTTTGCGTCTGAGCTCAGGAAAAAATTCAAACAGCACAGCCTCTAGTTCCCCAGGAAGCCCCTATACCAGCTCCACCCTATAACCACAAATAAAAGTCCCAAACAAGCAGCATCTGGCCTCAGTATGCCGCATACTTCTTGCAGAGCAGGCCCAAGCCTGGCACTAATGGCAGCTGGCCTCTGTACGTGGCTTGGCCTCTCCCAGGCACCTCCAAGCCCAGCACAGATTGCGGCCATCTGTGAATTGCTTTGTGGCTCATTCCAGGTGGCCCAGGGCAGAGAAAAGGCTGCACCTGAACATAATCTGCAGTGTGGCCCTTTCCAGCAGGCCCTGAGGCCAGATTGCCTGGTGGCCAACTTCAGACCTAGCCAGAGCAACACCCAGCTGCCTCTGCAGGCAACACTCCTAAAGGGTAGACTGGGCAGGCACCAGAGCTCTGCTAAAGTGAGTCCTGCTCCACAGGGTCAGCCCCTGCACCACAGCTCCTCCACTGTAGTCACAGCCAGTCCTCACAATCAGTCAGCCTTCGGGTCAATCCCTCCCATTGATGTGCAAACAGTAATCAAAGCTCAACTACAATAAGAGAGCACACACAACCCACACAAAGAACATACCTGGAGCACCTGGCTCAGATGACCAGGGAGATTATGCCACTGGGACCTACAGAATATCTTCCATATGAGGCCACATTACTAAAACCATGAGACATAGTAGCTCTACCTAATATATAAAAACAAACACAGAAAGGCAGACAAAATCGAGAGACAAAGAAACATGTCCCAAATGAAAGAACAGAAAAAAGTGCC